CCTTGTCCCTAACCCCCCTTCTAAAACGCAGCAGTTGGGGTTACGGCATAGTGCTGTCCCCCGGCCTTTGTTTTTCAGCAGGGTGGATTCGTTCAGTGCCCTTCCGATGCGCTTTTGCCTGAGGGAGACCGTTCCCTCTGCTCTCCCTTTCGACGCCCTCGCTACGTTTCTACAAGGGGCAGAATCGAAGTGGGTGTTTCTTGATGAGTAGACAAAATTACCAAAAGTTGGGGTTTGCTTCATAACGGATTTGGGGGTGTGGGGGGGGGGGGGGGGGGTAAGGGGAGGGAGCAGAGCTGAGATTACAGCAAATAAATAAAATGAGGCATTTGAGCAATATCCTCCTTCACTAATCACTCTCTCATGCGGCGAGAGAGGGTAGCTTTGGCCGGGGATCTCTGCGTTTCCCAAATGGAAGACGGGCTGGATTTGGGTTGATTTGTGTGTAGGAGTAGGTGGTGTGAGCGGTACGATGCTGTGCTGTAGCTAGTGTGCCTACAGTAACAGGCCTCGTTCTCCTGGGAAGCTTTACTTGTGAGCCTTATGGTTTCTATCAGAATGTTCTTCTGTCTGTTTCTGATTTAAAGTGGAGCTTTGACTAAACCTGATCAATATTTTGCATTCCATGCGTGAAGAACCAGATGTTGGAAGTTTCCTATTGTTGAAAGGGAGGGGGGGTGAACACCCCCCTCAGACTTGCAGAAATCAATGTTCTCTGACAGAAGTTGGTTGCTTTTCCTAGGAACAATATATTCCTCTGATTTTCAAGTTGATTTCTCTTTTAATGAGGTTCTAGTTTAGTATTTTGAGTTTGTGTTTTGTCTGATACGGACAAATCCTCCTAAGAGGAAGGCTTAACAGTACGATGGACAGTAACTACACTTATTTGTCCAGCGTTTCATTACTTTCCATAACTCGCAGCTTCTTCTCGCCTTATTCTTGCCTTCTCCTTTCCTCTGTTAAAAGAGCGAAGTAAATTCAGAGAAGTGGATACGTGATGCCATGCCACTTCTGTGGCGTGCTTGCGGGTGCTGGCATCCCATTTTGGGTGCCCCGGTGTTGCAAGCAGGTGAAGGTGACCCCAGCGCTGGGGATTTCTGAACGTAACTCGCAGCCCTGGAGAGGGAGCAAACGGAGAACAGAAAACGAGACGTGTTTATTAAACTGTTTAAAACAAATGTTCTCCTAAAATCCTCTTTTAAATCAGAGCAGTACAGACAAATGCCTCTGGTTCCCACAGAGACCACGTCCTTAGCATTTCCTTGAACCTGTGACCAGACTTTTTCTGTAATTGCTCACTGGGGGTTTGCTGTGCCTTCTCGCAGAGGAGCTACTACTGAGCTCATTCACACTTTCTGAGCTCAGATTATGTGTCTGTAGTACTGGGGGGCATCCACTGCGCATTTCTGAGCTGAAGGAGGAAAATGCTTGTAGTGTGGACCCCTGGGGCAATATCCTCAAGCTGCAGAAAGGATAAGGAGGCAGTGGGGCAGATTTTTCTGGAGCAATCCGATATAAGCAGAGTACAGTGAGGCTGGTTAAACTGGGCTGTGCAAGCCAGTCGCACAGCTTTTGTGACTGGCTTACTAGCCTTAAGCTTTTTATGTTTTATGCCATTTCTCCTCTTCTGGCTCTGGAACAGGGTAATGCATGCAAACAATAGAAATAGGAAGAGGAAGAAAAAGTTCTTGTGAGAGAAAACAGCAAAAAAATCCTTTGAGGGCACCGGGGGGATTAGTGCCCTAGTGGATTCTTCAAATATTACAGTGAATTTAATTAAATACATTGTGATCCCCAAAGAGGCTAGTCTAATTAGCCAGATCGAGAATACATTTATTCTCTTCCCTTACCCTTCCAATCAGAAGTCTCAGCATCAGCTCCTATCCTATTTTTAATCATTCCTGCACTCAGAGGGATCTCCTTTTTCCACGTTAGCTAAACACACAGAGCTGGGTGAGATGCGTCTTTAATCTTCTTTTAGCTGTAACTGAGATATTTCACATAAGAATTTACATCAGAAGTTCCTGGCTGCACGTAGACAATATTTGATTGACAAACCTTGAGTGCACGTCCAGATTGCCTTCCTTATATGCCTTGAGTGGACTGTATAGTGAGAAAAGTTTCATGAAATGACACAGAAGATGAAAGAGCGGTCTTGAGGTGGGATGGTAAGACCGGACATGGATTATTGCTTAGCTATACTATAGGTATGTGGTAGGAAAACCAAATGGCCTTCACTAAGGAATCTTTCATGTCATTCGACTTTGGTTTTGGTATCTGTTTTTCTTCAGCTTGTGCTTAAGTCCTTACTGTGGGAATCTGGAATGTTACTGTGCAGTCTAAGGGAACAGCTACCCAAATTAAACAGAGAGCAGCTGAGCGGTGACTCCCAACATAGCTGCAAGCAAATTCTTCCCTGTGGTTTTAAGAAATAATTGCCCCATCTTTGGGATCCATGACTCAAAATAGTTAATCATTTCCCTAGTGGCATTGGCCTCTGTGCCGGACAATTGATAGGCTTCATCACGTAATCATGGTATAATACGCTTGGATTAGCTGTGTTGGCTGTGATTGTTTCAGAGGGTGAAAAGGGTTGTCCCCCACCCCCAAGTTCTAACATCTTGAAGTGATCTCCAGCTGTGTGCTTACCATTGGCTTTTCAGTTTGGATCACAATCACAACCACCTTCCAGGCCAGACTGCTGCTCCCTTCCAGTTCCAAGAGAGTAAAAACTAAATGCCAAGGAGCTGAGCGTTGAATGATAGGATGGCACGCACTCAGATGCTCTGCTCCCATAAGCTCTTTCCAGGACCTCTTGATCTAATGGGTGCACTGTGTTCTGAGATTACTTTTGTTTTATTCTTCTTAGTTTTCAGTGAGATTTCATCAAATGTAATCTGTTTGACATGAAGTTGGATAAGTTTGATATGAAAGAATTAGTGGTGCATAAATCATGAACAGTTGTTAATGTTGGATCTGATATTTTCCTTCACTGAAGATGATCTTGCCTATCTTGATTGTTGGTTCTGCACTGATTTTGGTGTATGCTATGTTTTTCTTACCTTTGAAGCAGGAAAGTGCATGGTAACTTGAGAATAAAGAGGCTTGATCTTACCGTTTCTTCTTCAAAACGGGGGGAGGGAGGGGTCTACCTAATTTCCAGGTGGCTTTTAGCAATTTGCAGTGGACTAACCCAGAAAGATGGGAGGTGGTGCAGGAAATTCATATCTCTCTGCTTTGTTCTTCGCAGCACCTTCAGCATCATGAGAGTGGGGTTGAGGGTGAAAGCTGCTATTACCACTGTGTCCTCTGTAACTACTCGACCAAGGCCAAGCTGAACCTCATCCAGCATGTGCGCTCCATGAAACATCAACGGAGTGAGAGCCTACGTAAGCTGCAACGCCTCCAGAAGGGTCTCCCTGAAGAAGAGGAAGACTTGGGACAGATCTTCACCATCCGGAAGTGTCCAGCTGCTGATGCTGGTGAGTAGTGCATCTCTTAACATGAATAGAGTTGGGCTCTTGGCTTGTGTGCATCCCAGTGTTTGACTAGCAGCCATCAGACCATCCATGGAGTTTCTTGGCAAGCTCAGTGAATTTCTTGTTGTCCTTTCTCTTCCCGGCTGTGGAGATGATGCTTACTGTTTATTAATGTACATTATAGAAGCCCCACCTGCCCTGAAGCAGGACGAGACCCTGTCGTACCTGCAGTGTCCAGCATAGCTCTCTGCCTCGGGAAGGTAACGTTTGGTGGCCATGAAGCACCAAATACTTACACGCATGCGTCATTTCATACCTGTAAATTATCTCCTCTGTTCTGATAGGGCTAAATACAAGTTTGATGTTTGGAACTGTATATGTTTATTCAGGTTAGTGTCTTAAATAATTGGATATCGGATGAGTGGTCTAAGAATACTATCATATTTGGATAACTCTAATAGACTAGCATACTATACTTTCTGTAGATATTTTTCAGGGTGTCAGGTGATGTCCTGAGCGTCAGTGCACTCCTGTGCCAGCTTGTTTATTGATTTCTGGAAGTCTTTCAGCCACGCTGGATCTTAAGGAGGAGCTGGTGGTGAGGGATTGTTACTTACAGAAGAGGTGGGTGGGAGAAGGGACAGCTGCTTTTGTCTATATGCCAAATCTCCTGCTGACAAGGTAGATCAGGTGATCGGAATGGAAGAAGCATTTGCTCGTACAGAAAGGTCAGGTAATAGGGAAGAGACTGAAATTGTGAATCTAACAACAGGAAATGTGCCATAAAGGGGATAGTGATAGTGGCTAAAACAGAAATTGTATTTTGTTTAATCATTTATAGGGTTCAGAAGTTTTTTTTTAATCTTAGGAGGAGATCAAGATCTCATGAGGCCCTCCTTGGAGTGGGGAGGAGGAGGAGAGCCTGCCGGTGTAGGCTGGTGGCTGAGCAGTCGGGGATGCTGTGCTGGAGTGTGGAGGATGCAGGTGAAAGTCACCATAACCACCCCAGGACTTTCATCCATGACTTCTAATGAAATGGCTAAATTTTATGGACGTGTACTCTGAGGAATTAACATTCCTTCCTCCCTCCCTCCAAACTTGGAAGGACGTACCTGTTGCTTAGAGAGAGTAACACATGGATGCTGGAAGTTCTCTTGAAATAAGAGCTGGGTTGTGCTGCTGCTATGTGTGTTAGTAGGAAGGATGTGAAGCACTTGCAAAACACCTGAAAAGTAAAACATTAGATTCAATTTATTAAGAGTTCAATCCAACCTTTTGGGGAAAAAAAAATGACTGATCTGTGAACTTGGAGGCCCAGTGGAGTCTGAGGGCACGGAATATCCTTTCTCCAAGGTCACGGTGGCAGTGAAACACACTGTGGTTGCCACGCTGTCCCGGAGGGGACAGTGGCTTTAGAGTAGTTCTGCTTCTCCATGATGCTCTACTGTAGAAAAACCTTCCGATGTTGAAAGGTTGTGTTGATTGGTGTTGTATGATTTGTGACTTTTCATAAAAACAAAATGAATAGCGAGTAGAAATCATCTGTGCCCCTTTGTGATGTACAAAACAGTCTTGACAATCTCTGTTTGTCTTTTACTTTAGAAACTCTTTTTTTCCCCATACCCAGGATCATGGCACTGGAGATGCTGAGAATGTAGAAACTGAGTAGCTGAGAGGGAAGGGGATTTGCTGACCATTTAAAAATGGGTATTTAGCTTTTTAACTAGAACTCTTGACAAATTGCTGAAAGGAAATCTCAGTTCAAAAATATTTCCGTGTTTCAAATGGTTTGAAATAATTCCTGTTGAGCTTCTTGACTGCAGCCTGATTGAAACTAACGGCAAGCAAGATGCTAAGAACTTCTTTTTCATATTTTATTTCGAAGGTTAAAAATAAAAGTAAAACCGTGACTCCTCAGAATGCAAAAGAGGGGGGGCAGAAAACAAAAAAAAATCCCTTGGTCTGTTTCGCGGGTGGCTTTGGCCTGGGGTTTTTAAACATGATTTCAGTCCGTCGTTGAGAGCGGCTGCGCGGACGCTCCCCGCGCTCGCTGCCGGGCAGTGCCGCGTCCGCCGAGGCGCAGGGGCTGCTCAGGTTATCCCGAGGTTATCCCATCGTAGCGGGGACTGGATTTGGGCGAGATGTCGCCCCGCCGCAGCGGGGACAGATAGATCTTTTCACCTTCCCTTCGTTTTTGTCCGCTCAGAGTGAACTGGGACGTAAAACGGCGTGGTCCCGTTTCCACGGACGATTTCGTGTATTCGGTGTAATCTCATGAGAAAAAAGATCTGCTTTGAACAGCCTGATGTCGCGTTTTTTCCTGTGATGTTTAAACTCCCAGTGTTATAAAATGCTGCTGTTATTTAGCTGGCTGCTGTTGTTTTTCTGCTGGTTTGGGTGTCAGCGATGCGTACAAGGAGTGCCTGCCTAGGCTCAAGTTCACTCTTCGCCGCGGTCGCGTCGCGTTGGTTTTGGAATTTGTCTGCAGGTTGATGCCCACCTCGCCTTCGCTGCGCTTGCTCCTGCTGCATGGTGCAATGCTGTCCCTGCCGCGTCTGGTTGTGCTTTTAGGTTTGGGGTTTTTTGGAGGGTTAGGCAGGCTTTCCTCATTGCTTTTTAATGAGGAGTCTCTTGTGATAACTGATAACATGAAAAAATCTTTCCTGTGTTTCAGATACCCGAGTAGAAAGTGCTTTTCTGATCTATGACATTTCTCTGTCAATGGGGCCCAAAGGAATAGTGACTTTTTTGATGGTTTGCTGCATTACAAGTGCAGTGGTTTGTTTTGATGCCTGCTATTACTCCCTGGTAATCATCAGTGTGAGTCATCTCTCCCTTTCTAGTTAATTGTCTTCCTTTTGAATTATTTTTCCCTACCAATAAAACATCATGTATTTATTTTTTTCAAAGTGGATCCCCTTTTGTTATCGCTAATCTTTCTGGGGTCCCTTAAAACATTTTAGTCCTCACAGCATCTCTTGCCTTTTTACCTTCTGCAAAACTTCTTCGCTGTGAGGGTGGTCGGACACCGGGGCAGGTTGTCCAGCGAGGCTGTGGAGTCCCCATCTGGGAGTGTTTGGAACTTGACGGCACACAGCTTGGCAAGGGCAAGGCCTGGACAGGGGCCTTGAGTGGAGTCTTCTCTCCTTCTAAAACTGCAGCTGGTTCTTCTTTTCCTGCAGTCCTTTGTGGCCTTATTGGAAGTATTGAAAGATCCTTTATCACTTTTTTCTGTCTCTAACTTCATCCAGTTTGTACCAATCTGCTCATCTCCAGCTTTACATAAAATTGCTGGTTACAGTAATAAGAATGTAGCTTGGCCCTTTTACTGTAGTCTTTTGTTAAATCAGACTGTGCAGATCAAGCAAGTAGAGCCTGTGGTGGTGGTCTTCCCGCTGTCGTCTTCATTTGTTTTGTGACAGAGGACAGGTGCCAGAGTTAAATGGTTTTTTTGCCTATGTGTACTTGTTGGTGTGTGTAAGCATGTAGGGCAAAAGCATCGCTGTCTCTGGGGTGGTGTGCAGATATTTGCTTGTATAGATGCATCTCAATCGGTTGGAAGAGAGTGTCTGATCATACCTTAATTAGTCCTCTAACAATCTACAAAGGTCAGTGCCAATTGCCTGTTCATTTACATTTGTAATTGTGATGGTTCTTGATTGCACATTAGTTGCAACTCATTCCCTCCCACCCTTTAGAAAACACATGCAGCAGTCTAAGCAACAGCCTTGTAGACACAAGGACCTTTGTCTCTTTGCTTGTGCCAGCAACACAGCCTTCACTGAAACTTTTGTGTCCTTTATGGAAAGGAGCTTTGGAAGCTATACTCCACTTCCAGTAAAGGATGAAGTCATTGGCAAGGAAATTATATGGACATCAGGCAAGAAAACCAATCTTCTTGAGCTGGATAATTAAAGACAATTAAACTTTTCTGCTTGCGCTGGGAAGTGTGCTAATTATGCAGCAGACAGGGAGGTGGGCCCAGGCTGGACATTAAGCTGTTTTGTTGATCAGAAAGAATACAGCTTTAGTTGTGGGGGTTTACTTTCCTCTGTTGGGTATTTATGGACATCCATTGCTGTAGTATCTGGGTTGTTGCCATTGCAGATGTCAGCCCCTTCTGCAGAAGCATCTGTATTATGTTACCCATACGCTAATTGATTTTTAATGATGAGGGATTAGCAAAAATAAATACATAACAAAAGGTTCTAAAGATATAGGGATGGATGCACGTATGACTTATTAGATAATGATAGAAATAAAAGAATAAAGCAACCTGCACCAAATTTTCATTCTCACTTTGAAAGTGTTTTCTTCTAGAAGGCATCAAGTACAAGCAGCTCACCTCAGACAGCTGTGCTCGGAGTAGCCAGCCCCGGGTGGAACTGCTGGCTTTGTTTCCAGCGTGTGTTTCACAGAGGTGCACGCAGCTTGATGGTCAATCTGTTATGTCACTCTGTACATGCAATCCGTATGAGATCTGAATTTGTTACAGCCCCAGCTGCTGAGCCTGTTTCTCTTTAGGTAAGTGCTGTTCATAATTAATCAGTTTTTCTACTTTACCCGTTACTCCGGCCTTTTTCCTGTTGATTTCATCTTCGTCTGTTCTTTTTCCATAGCTGTCCTCCTATGGAAGGAGCAGAGCAGGTTTTACTCGGTCTTTCCGCAGTACAGAATAGAAGTCTGTCACGTGCCCGAGTTCCTCACCTCCCACCAGATCAGTGGGCTTCCCTGTCCCAGGATTGTTTCTACATGCAGCTGTTCAGGTCAGGATCTGTCACGCTCTTGAAGTCAGGACAAAGTCCTACTGGTTGCAGTAAGTTTGACCTGAGCAGAAGATCCTTAGGTGGAAACACTTTATGCTTGGGCTCAGCAGAAGTATAATTTGATCCAGATGGGTCAGGTGGAACTGAGGCAAGAGAAGAACTAGAATTTTTATGATGCCCAAGAATTTCATTTTGATCTTGTTTTCATATGAGCCCTGAATTTCTTGACATGTTTGA